CCCCAAAACCCCAAAACCCCAAAACCCCAAAACCCCAAAACCCCTTTTAAATTAAAAAATGCTGAACTAGGTTAAAACTTCTTATTTTGGATAATTAAAATGACCATTTACACCAAATTATTCTCGAAGCTTTTAATGATTGCCTTATGCTTATTCAGGTTTCTTGATGAAGCCCATGTCAATCATACCTTGAACCATTTCAACAACGCTTTCCTTCATAGGCTTGTATTCAAACTTAAGTTCTTCAGCCTCTTTTGATCCATCAATAGTACATTTGATGTCCCAATGAGATAAATAGTTTTTAGCATCAACATTAAACCAGCTTGCCATCCAAAGAGTGCATTTTGAAAGCTCGCTAACCTTGACCTTATATCCCTTTGGTTCAAACTCTTCTTTTATGACTTCAGCAAATTTGGAGAACTTGTAGGTCTCACTAGAAAGAACATATCTTCCACCATCTTTTCCATATTCAAGAGCATTTAGATGAGCATCAGCACAATCTTGAACATCAACGTGTCCATAATAAATTTTGGGAAGACTTGAAAGCTTTCCTTCAACAGCCATTTTCATGAAAGTAGCAATTACACCACCAGCTATTGGCAGCTTTAGCTTTCCGGTGATGACAGATGGAAGGATACACACCAGTTCAAATGTCTTATCCTTGGCAGGAAGCTTATCCATGAAATCATAGGCAAATTTCTCAGATCTGATCTTACTGATGTAGTATGGGTTATGGTCTTTAGTCTCAGCTACAAAATCTGTTCTATCTGATGTACTTCCTTCTCCTTTGCTGTAGTCAAAGGCTGTGAGTGCTGAAGATGTAATTACGATTTTCTTTACACTTGATCCAACACATGCTTCTAAAATATTCTTTGTCCCTTCAACAGCTGGCTGAATAACTGTCTTTTCAGCATTTTTAGGAGTTGCAAGCACTATAGGAGAGGCTACATGGATAATATATGAAACTCCTTCAACAGCTTTCTTCATTGCCTCAGCATTTTCAATATCAGCTGAAACAAACTCAATTTGATCGAAAAGTTCTCCATAGCCTTGTTTTAGTAGATCCATCTTTTCTTTGTTTGTATGATCTCTGACAGTTCCTCTGACTTTATATTTGCCAGATTCCACAGCTTTGGCAACACACCAAGACCCGAGGTATCCTGAAGCACCAGTAACTAGTAAAAGGGGTTTATCTCCATATGATTCCATTTTGTGAGTTAGTAAATTCTATACTAGATATATTCTATAATTCTATTTCACTAATGTTTAAAGGGGTTTTGGGGTTTTGGGGTTTTGGGGTTTTGGGGTTTTGGGG